TTTATGTATGTATAAAATCGATACAGCTAAAGGGCAGTTAAATATTACTTGTGTTTAACACCATTACACAAAAGCTCCATATGCAGAATATTCTATACCATAGGTAACATATAGCTGTGGAACCTACGGACCCATGCAAAATAAGACTAAGCATTGGGAACGGGGATTGGCACCCCTTAAGAAATATTTAATGGAATCCCCAATGATCCTGCAATCGAGGTCCACAAGAAAAACCGGGCGACAAACAATAATCCAAAAACTAAGACAAAATAGCATTACATGAGAAGATTCAAAACCAGCGGCAACTAATCGAGTGAGATGGCAATGAATTGTGGAAGCACTATGATCCCAATAGGAGTAACATAAAAAATAAGACCAAAAAATATTTACACTTAGATTTGGTGTCATTTAGGTTTGGTTAACTAGTAAACGGTGTTTACGAGCTAACCAAACCTAAGTGAATAAAACAATAACAAAATTAACCAAATCAGTGTATGGGGTCATGAGTGTTATGAGCAGCCAAATCCCAAGCCTGAGTAAAAATGTCGAGACAATTGTCCATATTTACCTATTGTATTTTCGTATTAGATGTCCCGTTCCATTGACAACCATTTGAAATATTATATGGAAAAATTTGACTGATAATCGAGACAAAAACAAAGGTTTTTGTTTTAATACATCACCTTATTATTGCATCATGGTTATACCGATATTTATTATTTTCCCAGCTTCTTTTTTTCGCTGAGTGATCGATGTTGTCATCACTAATAACGTAAAGGCGTAATTAAAATGACGCTGTCGTCGTCTTCGTAATTAACAATACATAGCCTGATTGTATGCTGTATTTTTGCAATAAGCCACATAAAAATAATGATTACAATTTCCATATGGCTAATATGTGAGAAAATTAAATCAATTACAACAATACAAAAGAACATTAAAAAAATCTAGACATGTTTTATGATTGTTAGAAGAATGACAACACAATAATTGATGTCGCAAAAATGTGTAATATGTAATTATGATCACTGATTAATGTTGATGTAAAGTTCGTACGAAATTGTGAGTAAAACCTTTAAAATACAAATTGAGGTTACACGAAGTCAGTGCACCTATATCTATATCGAAAATCTTCAGGGGGTTTCTAAACCCAAGAAAAAAAATATTTCATCTTAGGCTTTCAAGATTTATATACCATCCATGATAAGGATATTGAAGCATTCATCGTAGATGACTGACTTATAACGGCTAACGAAATAGCTGAAGCTTGAAAACTTTGGGAAAACGTATTGGCATAGAATTCTAATTTCTAATTCTAGACTAAAAGTGTACGAAATGTATTAAAGTTTACTAAACCATCTACTAGGTAGAATATTAAGAATTAAACTACAAGTTTTATTTACAAATAATTAATGAAATTGATAATGGGTATACAGAAACAAATAATTCGTATACTCGTATACATGAATAGTGTTCAGAAAGTGTTACAAATGTCCGGATATTTTCATTTTGTGAATGCAATTCATATATATATTTTTTTTTTTGCTCAGGAACTATTTTTCTAATTTGACTTTATGTTTTCTTCTTTGTTTTGTCTTGCCTCCAAATTTCTTATTTATTATATTTACTTACATATTCTTGTTTTGCGTAATTAGAATGGTAAACTTTTGGCTCGTAAATTTGTTGTTCGCATCAACACTTCTTTGACATAATAAATTTCGCATTTAGATCGAAATAATTTGGAAAATACATATGCGAATTTTCAATACAGAGGTAGGAAACAGCGACTGAAAAAAGAAATAATGGGATTCAAAACTAACCACAATAGAGTGACTTGAGAGACCACGATTGTAGACAGAAGGAACATTAGACAAACAAACGATTGCAAAATTAACAACCACCAAGTGATTGTGGCTTTTTTTCTTTGGAGGAATACATTCTTTTTTGTTAAAATAGAGAGAAAGAATAAGGAACTAGAGTAAATTTTGGTAAATAGAGTTAAGTATGAAAAGAGTTCTGATATTAATGGAATGTTTACATTTTTTGAAAGGTCTCTGGTCTCTTTTTTCAAAGTGGGAAATTAATGATGTGGAATATTGCCGTCTATGTGAGAATGCAGATGAGGCGAATACTATCGAACAGTTATACTGTCGACAACCCATGCTTCGAAAGGGAAGGCATCAAATGTGTTGTAGATATGAGATAGGCATTTCAACTTTTTTCTCCGAGATAGGCCGCAAAATCATTTAGCTTTGCCAAATTTTCAGCACGGATATATGTCACCTCCAATTGGAAAATTTAAAGCCTTCAAAATTCCGTAAAATGGATTTGTATATAAGGGCTGTGTCAAAACATTTGCCTACATACTTCATTTGTGATATAAAACACCTTATGAGTAGTGTGAATGGATGTGAACAATTTCAAAGCTCTATATTAAATATTGCAATATCTATAGTAACTTAAAAAATGGGTGGAAATTTCTAATTCTATCAAAAATTTAAATACTCTATGGGGTCTCCGATGAATATTTCCAATTGTTGCATGGACGATGTAGAATATAAAAATTTATTGCTAATATTTTAATTTGTCATTTAATACCAGTTTTTATATCACGAGTCGATAATTTCCTTTGTATAACTGGCCAATACGGTTCTAAGTCTAATTAGAATTTCTTAAAATATTGGCACTGTGACAATACGTTATGATCTTGTTAATTGCATGTTACCTAAGTAGACTATTAAATAATTTCATAATACACACTACCCCATCATTATATATATTTAAATAAAATATTCAATTATTGCCCCTTTTTAATTTGGTGTTATGGTTGTTATATTGCGGTAACGACTTAATGCCAAAACGTTTATTTTTTTAACAATAAAACAAAGTTCCTGGACATTTATTTAATTGAGGTCAAAGTACCGTTTCTTTGAGAGAGATATATTATTTTTTTGCAATGTCCATGAAGTACTTACACAAATACATATTTAAGTGTAATATGAAACGGAGGTTTGTGTGTGGTACATAATTACAATATTACAATATTGTTATATTTTAATTAACACTTTTATTGTAACAGTTATGTTAAAGTGGCAATATTTGTTAATTGAATGGCCTTGTTTAAAAAATACACATCTAAAAAAGTGTATAAATTATTCCAGTTTGTGTTGCATAAAATAAATCAAAAAATACTGTTGAATGCCGACGATGCCTAGTTTATGGAAAAAGTAGTTTACTCTATATTATTGGTCTAAATTGTCCTAAACCCATAGTAAGGAGACAATTTCAACGTGTTCTTCATAACCAAATTATAAATGCTTAAGAGGATGGATATTTTAAATTCGTTATTCCAATTGTAACAGCTGGATTTCACAATATTATTTAAAGAGCTTTGGAGCTTTGAATATTTGGAATGGAGTATCGTTGTACCAACACCTAATAATTTTGAGTATGTAAAGGGTTTTATACTCAGTTCTCAATACATTCGATTGCAATTACCTATTTCAAACTGTTTGCAGAAAATTGTAGAATTGGGTCGATGTTTTGACATAGCATTTATATGAGATTTTGATAATCGAAATCAATGAACACCTGTCGCTTTTTTATTCACAATTAAGTGCGGGTGAATTTTTATGATTCTTATAATCACAGAAAATCTGCAAAATACAAACGATTACGGAATGTTTATGATTGCCGTAGAAAATATATAAAATCTTATACAAAACATATTCCAATTTTTACTGATGTGTGTTTCCGTTAACGAACTATTGGGTACGACTTTTTATTTGTGATGTAAGCATGTATGGTATAAAGCCACAATATCTTTGAGTTTTCTTATGGAAAGGAGTAGCTACCCCAAACGTAGTATCTTGAGAAGTTTAATGTGATACCTACCTATTGGCCTACTTTACAGTGGCTGAGCCACAGAGGGAAATGCGCCCACCAGCGCCGAAGTGCTGTATCAATCGGAGAGCATGCAGAAGGCACACTCTCCCCCATGGTTATGGGCGAAAACACTACCTCCGCGAAGCTCCCCAGGGGGCCACACAACTGTCAAGCTGGATCGACAGATCCAGGGGCACCAGACATCCGCGGTACGGAAAACCTCCGCTCAGGCTCGAGACCGAAGCCTCTCCCAGTTCGACGCAAATCCGAGCTGGTATCCCAAAACAAAATAAACAACAGCAGCAAAAACCCCAAGTGGCAAGGAAAGACCTCGTCAAAGGCAGTGGCGACGTTGAACAAATACGCACAACGCAAACAATTAACATGCTGTCCTGACTGCACAAAGGACCGCGGCACCGGACATCACACACAAACAATCAACGAAACTGACCTCACGGTCAGCGTACACGACATCCACAAGACGAGTGAACCTCATGAAGCAGAAACCGCGAACCACCCAGGATGCAAAAAACCGCAGGCAGCACCTTGTCCTCCACCTATCAATAACACACTCCCGAAGGATAGTGCTGTACCGCCTACTCTCCCCATCCACCAGATCAAAAGGACTGCGCCAATCATCCTCACCCAACTGCAAGCAACCCTTAAGCTTATACACGATAGTCCTACATCTCACTTCAAGATCAAGCGGCGCGGAGCCAAGCAGCACTTGCAACGCCTCTGTGGAAACAGTGCGACACACTGGCAAGCATGCTAACATGACGACCCGCTGACACGAAAGGAGCTTCTTCTGTCCAAAGACAGATGGGGCAGTTCTGTACCATATAGGTACACCATAAGTTGCACAGGCAACAAAAAGCCCACCATATATGATGTGCACAAAAACGCCTAATCAAGCCCCAATCGGTCCGCAAAACACTCCTGATGGTCTCAACGACCGTTGTCTGCTTCTCCTTCAACCGATCGAAGTGTGGAAGAAAATGCAAACGCTCTGACAACGTTATCCCGAGATATTTAACAGTACACGAATACCTTATGCCGCGTTCAACAGCTCGAATGCAGGGAGGACGGATGTATGCCAACCTGCCTTCCAGCACCGTCTTCTCGGTTGTCACCTCCACTCCAACTCGGTCACTCCAATCCTGCATAGCTTGCTCACCAAGATTTTCCAATTCAAGGCGACTATCCCCTTCAATCATGTTGAGCAAGTCATCCGCATATGCACAGACATTGAAGAATGCAGCTAGCTCCCGCAACAGAGGATCCATCATGCGATTCCATATGCATGTACCACAAATGGAACCCTGTGGGCAACAACGCTGCACATCCCTCCAGACCTAAGCACTGGATCCCACGACACAAGCCTTCCTATCCAAAGAGCGATCTCCCTACCTCCGACCTCTGTCAACTTTGTGAGCACACTATCCATAAAAGGAAGCCAACTGCGCCTTTGAAATCCACAAATATGTTAAGGACATATTTGGAATTTTACCCGCTCAGGCTATCTTAAACATGCCGCCACGCGACCCGCGGTAAAACCAAACTGATACAAGGACATACCTTCGATGTAGCAATCCCTAAGCCATGGCTCCATAATCCTCTCCAGTACTTTTGCAAGAACTGGAAGAAAACATATGCCCCGATACGAACAAGGATCACTCCTCACCCGATCAGGCGACTGTGTATGCGGGAAGTATCCATGATGAATGTAACTGGAGAAAATGGACTCGATATATTCCGGCATAACCTTCCAGATGGCTTTCACCATCCTTCCAGTCATACCATCCATACGTGGCGATTTTCTACTTCTAACCCGACAGATACTGTCCACAACTTCTATACGATCTAAAGCCGGAGGCTCCCTCAATTCATGAACAAACGGAGGAAATTATGTACACAAGGATGCCAAATAATGTCGGACTCCGTAAAAGATTTAGATGAGTTTTTGGTTGCCTTGCATTGTATTCAGATTTCTCTGTTCCGCTATTCTACTGACAAAATTGTAAAAAAACGCGTGAAGCACTGATATAAAGTTTCTACTTTACCAATACCCTGGGGAATAGCGGCATTGTCCATGATGGACATTTTGTCCGGAACATATTCCAGTTAGCTTTTTTCCATATTAGTATTCTTTTGTCGATGATATTATTAAGCTACTAGGATTGTTGATCATTTGCTTTGCTCCTGAACAAAAGTTTCACCCTCAGTATGCTCAATAGTTTCCTCTACTTGGTTATCACCGTCAAATTCTTTCTCTACGATTTTTTTATTTTGTCGGCGACTTACATTTCATCATCTGGATTATCGCCATCAATTCCAAATTTTTCAAATAAGTTTCGATTTCCTTGTCATATACTCCTAGTGTAGTAGGAAATAATAAGCAATGGTGTGTAATAAATAACTGCATAATGAGGTAAATATCCATCATACATATGATCATTTTTATACCCTTCACCACACTGTGCTACAGGGTATTATGTCTTTGTGCATATGTTTGTAACAGGCAAAAGGAATCGAGATAGACCCATGGTTCCTTTTGAGAATATGCATAGAATCACTTTCTGAGTCGATTTACGCATGTCCGTCTGTCCATGTATTTTTGTTAACAAAGTACAGGTCGCATTTATGATCCGATTTGGATGAAATTTGGCACAGTTCACTTATTTGGCCCAAGGACGAACCCTATTGAAATTGGAGAAAATCGGTTCAGATTTAGATATAGCTCCTATATATAGTTTCGCCCGATTTAATGTAAATGGTGTACCAAAGTCCCTATATGTCTTTTGATTTGCACGAAATTTGGCATTGCGTACTGGAATGAGTCTAGAATGATGTGTGTAAAATTTCATGAAAATCGGTTCAGATTTAGATATAGCTACCATATATAGTTTCGGCCGATTTTAGGTAAATGGTGCACCATAGTCCCTGAAAATGATTTGATTTGCACGAATTTTGGAATAGCGTATTGAATTAAGTCTAGAATATCTTGTGCCAAGTTTCGAGAAAATCGGTTCAGATTTAGATATAGCTCCCATATATAGTAACGCCCGATTTTGGGTAAATGGTGTACCAAAGTCCCTACATATCTTTCGATTTACACGAAATTTGGTATAGCCTACTGAATTAGGTCTAGAATGATGTGTGCTAAGTTTCGTGAAAATTGGTTCAGATTTAGATATAGCTCCCATATATAGTTGCGGCCGATTTTAGGTAAATGGTGCACCAAAGTCCCTGAAAATGTTTTAATTTGCACGAATTTTGGCATAGCGTATTGAATTAAGTCTAGAATGACTTGTGCCAAGTTACGTGAAAATCGGTTCAGATTTAGATATAGCTCCTATATATAGTATCGCCCGATTTTAGGTAAATGGTGTAACAAAGTCCATATATACCTTTCGATTTGCACGAAATTTGGTATAGCCTACTGAATTAGGCTTAGAATGATGTGTGCTAATTTTCGTGAAAATCGGTTCAGATTTTGATATAGCGCCCATATGTGGGTTCGTCCGTTTTAAGGTAAATGGTGTACCAAAGTCCCTATATATCTTTCGATTTGCACGAAATTTGGTATTGCCTACTGAATTAGACCTAGAATGACGTGTGCTAAGTTTCGTGAAAATCGGTTCATATTTAGATATAGCTTCCATTTATAGTTTCGCCCGATTTTAGGTAAATGGTGCACCAAAGTCCCTGCAAATCTTTTGATTAGCAAGAATATTGGCATAGCGTACTAAATTAAGTCTAGAATGACGTGATGGTTTTAAGCAAATTGTACACTAAAGATCCATACCATAGTTCGATTGACTATGGCATGGATCTCTGGCAGGTTTGCTTGAAATCGGTTCAGATATAGATATAACTTAGCTTCCATATATAATTCCGACTTATTTATGTTAATTGTACGCCAAATATTCAATGGGTGTCTGATTGAGATTCAATTTTAAACAGTACAGCGACGTCTTTTCGGATACATATGTAAAATATACCCAAAGTGGTGAAGGGTATCATATAGTCGGCCCAGTCCGACTTTACTTTCCTTACTGGTTTTAATTAAATACAGATTTTTAAAGAAATTTGGGGTACCGTTACATGGGGCTATAAGTTAACGTGAACCGATATACCCCATTTGAAATATTAAACATCTCAGAAAAAGAGCAATGTATATGCAAAATGTTCAAGGCTCTATCTAAATTATTGCGATCTATATTGTGATTTCAACAGACGGGCATGCGTAAATCGACATAAAATTTTATTCTGATCAAAACTGCATATACTTTATAGGGTCTTCGATAGTTATTTCGCCATATTCAGTTTTAAAGGGCACGTCACCCCAACATCTTCCAATATTTTTAGCTAGTTTGTTGGTTTCCTTAGTTTCAATATGTTTACAATCCAATACAATATAGAAAATAATAAAGGAAATAAATATTTTTGAAATCGAAGAAGAAAGAAAAATACCATTGTGGGCCTTGAACTTTAAAGGGAACCAGGTTATGTACCATTCATAACCACGATCTTAAGCTTTCCCACAACAAAACGCACAGGAAGTTCATCTGGGTTTTTTGTACGTTCCATCTGGTATTAAAAAAACACCTGATTCCTATTTCTGTGTATTTCCACTAATAATCATCACTTTATCAATAGTTATTTTTTTTAATTATTGTTTTATATATTTATTTTGGTAATAAACGTTTATTTTACGATTTCTTTATGATTTCTTCTTGCAGATTAGAAGTCCTCCACGGTGAACTTTGAAATCAAAAAACGAAAGAAGGCGGCTACCAATAACACAAAACTAACCGAAACCGCCACACTAGAGCAAAAATCGTTCATGCAAAACATTAGCAGCGTATACGTCACGCTAACAAATCAATAAATAAATAAAAAAATTAAGAATTGATTGTGAGAGGAAGACCAACGGACATAAAACAAGAACAAAAAGAATTAATCAATAATAACAATAACGAAAAATAAAGAAAATAAATGAAAAACAAAATAACCAAAAAGGAATGAAAATCTTATCAACAAAAACAAAATAACGCCACGCTTTACGCATCGGAGTAAACAACAAGGCAGAGAGCATATATGTGTGGGTTGCGCGGCAAGATTTGAATGTGTGTTTGACCGTTTTTTGCAAAATTAATAAAATACAACAACAAAACCGTATATTGAAAACAATAATATTTAATAATACCTCCTATTATGCACATGAATCGATTGCATTAATTGTTCAACGCCTAGAGTTACAACTTGAATGAAGTGCAAATTGGCTGGCATTTAATCGTTAGGCATTGTTGAGTTCACAACAAAAACAACAGCAGCAGTAACAGTAACAGCGTTCGGGAAAAGAAATTCGTATTCGTTTCCTTGTATCCTAATCAATAGAATCACATAGCGATTACGGTGTTAGTCTACGTCCCGAAATAGCCAGTGATTGATTGCATTTTGAAACGAATCCCGGAGAGTTCTTTTCCCCACACCAACACCGCATCCACCTCAGCCGAGTGAAACGTAACGCCTCACCGATTTCATATTTTAACCATTGAACATTGGATTCATTGATTCAGTTGGTGTTGGGGTAGCACCACCAACAGTCACAATTACAACGCATAGTATATCCGTGCATTCAAAAAATACCCTCAATACGGAGCTCTTACCAAATAAAGTGGGTCAACAATTTGCTGGCGATTTTTTTCGTTTTGGAATCGAAGTTGAACAGACTCTGTGTGTAACTACAAGAGTTGATTGCTAGTCAAACTACTAAAACGCTAGCCATTTACCGGCAACAAGTGTTTTATTTTTGGATATCGGCTACCAAGTGCTACCCACCACTGCGTATCTCGCAAGCAAAACTGTCTGCCTAGTAGCTACAACAATATTTTAAGACTCTATTGCAAAAAAAAGAAAAACATTAAAACAAAAAGTTACAAAACTTTTATTGCCATAGCTAGTCATTGAGCTAGCTACCTACTGATATTGGCAAATATTATTAACAGCAACGAAAATACAACAACAAACACTTCAATAGATTACAACAAAACAACAAATACTGCTACATTACAAAAGAAGATTGAAAAAATATATTTTCCCATTTGAAAAAAAAAACCAAAACTTCAACAGCTGTCATCATGATTAATTCGGTCCATTTAAAGTGTAAAAATATCTGGATTTGTATTACATTTGCAGCAATGTTATTGCTCTTCGATGGATTGCCACAGGTGTATGCCTTCAAAATGACGGTGAGTATAAAATGAATATTAAAAAATATATACTATAAAATCGTAATATAAGCTAAAATGCTATAAACAATTGTTATACTAATGTGTGCATCATCGTGCGCCAACCTTAACCATATGGGAATTATTTAAAAAATAATCAAGAAACAGTGACCTAGGTTAATAAATAATACATTCAAGAATGAGAAATTAAAATAAAACATTGTATTCTTTCAATAAGATGGGATTTTATTTCCAATAATAATCCGCATATTCTAGTTATCGTCGAAGTTTTTTCACATCGACGTGGCCCAAGACGTCAATCTGAAAAAAGTCATAAATTTTGTTCGGAAGCAGGTGTATTTTGAAGGGCTCGAACGAGGGTTTTGAGCACCTCTTTTTAAGATTGAAGATATGTATATATGACTTTGTTTAAAATAACAAACTCTTACGAAGTTGTTAGTAAAAAGCTTCATTAAAATTTTCAAAAGGGACCCTATAATCTCTTGGGTACTCCACTCGAATACCTATTCGCACTAATATTATTATATTATTGCACTAATATACAAACAACATAAGAATATTAATATATATTTAAAGTAATAATAATTTATTTAAATTATTCTACATCTTCCTGTATGAATGGATCTAAAAGTAAAAGTAGTTCTTTATTTCGAGAGCTATGAAATAGCTTTGTTGGAAAATATGAGATTAATGGATCTGTTGACTGAAGCAAATAATTGAAAAGATCTTCCATTGTCTTGTCTTTTTTCTAGTGTGATGTTTAGAGTTGGGCAATCTAGTTCACTTAGCGAATCGATCTTTCTCGTTCCTTTTTTAAAAAGGAACTAGTTCCTTAATGTAGTTCCTTTGCTCCATATAGTTCCTTTACTCCATACAGTTCCTTTGCTCCATATAGTTCCGACTCCTACATAGTTCCTTTGCATCTCTCTTCTTCATCGTTCTTTTTTTTCTATATATAGTTCCTTTACTCCATACAGTTCCTTTGCTCCATATAGTACCTTTGCTCCACATAGTTCCTTTACTCCATACAGTTCCTTTGCTCTTTATAGTTCCTTTGTTCTTTATAGTACCTTTGCTCCATATAGTTCCTTTTCTCCATATAGTTCCGACTTCTACATAGTTCCTTTGAATCTCCCTCTCTCTTTCATCGTTCTTTTTGTTTTTTTTCGCTCAAATAGTTCCGTGCTGATTTGTTAATAAATGTAAAAATTGAAAATTGTGCATAAATGAAATGAAGCTTACCGGATTCATTTTTTTATTGCCATTTTTAATTTCAATTTTGTAAGATATATGCAATACACATTCCTTACAATACACATTCTAATCTTTTTTAGTTTTCTGTAACCCACTCTTAGCAACATATAGCTAATGGGCTTTAAAACGATTTCCAGTCACTGTTTTCCACATTTGAATAATTATTTTTCGATATGTTTTCTTCCACTTGAACTTTCCATCGGATTCGTGGCCTTTCCCTCCTACGTGGCTCACTTTTATACGCTATTTGATCTGGGGCATCCTCCGTAGTCACTGCAGCTCGATACGTCTATGTCGATGTTCGAGTATAGATGGTATGACTTGTGGTTCATTCGACGCCATTATTCACCGTCGACGTAGATCGGCCCGTAGATATTTCGGATAATTTTCTCTCATATACTCCAAGAACTACCCCCTCTGATTGCGCAAATACCCATGTTTTAGATCCATACACCAGGGGTAGTATCAGCGTCTTGTCGAGTGTGAGTTTAGTCTGGCGAGAGGAGGCCTTGTTCCTTAATTGCTTACTCAGACCATAGTAGCAGCTGTTGACCAACATTATCCTTCTCCGAATTTCACACTAGTCATTAGTTTTATTTATGTATGTTATCTATCTCAATGCTGTAGTTTTCAAGTTCCTCCTTTTTTGTGCGCTGGACCTCAATTTCCTCGAGGCCCGCGTTTATGTCATACAGACAGTAGTAGTGCACTTGTCGAGGTCGAGACTTATAGTTTTAATTTTTGTTTTTAAAATAGAGTTTTATAGAATCTCATTTTCTATCCTGAATCAATAATAGGTCATAGTGTATCTAATAGAAAAAATGTTGGCCTAGTATTAATTTTCGATCTATCCATCTGTGATATTTGCACTAGCTTACGAATTACCTACTTCCATATTAATTTTATTTAATATATTCCAAAAACTATATTCTCCGCCAAATTCAATTAAAAAATAATTTATTTATTGACGAAAAATATTGCCCGTCACCCAATGTTGTTTGTCGCCAAAATTATTATTCGAAATGTCGAACAAATACCCTCATCACTATGCACATATTGAAACAAATGAACTTCCCACAATCAATTAGGTGATTCTATTTTAATACAATTGGACTACATATAAAATTTATTTTTAATTTGGAATAAAACGGTATTATATAAAATTGGAATTAGGTCAAATTGCAAAAAAAAAAAAAAAACAGACGTCTGTCTCAAATTATTTTGGCAGTCAAAATAAGAAAAACCTTTGAAACTTTATTTAATGTTTTGACATAGAATATACAAAATATGGGTTAGTGTTTTTCTTTCGTTTATGTTTCCATTTAATTGTTACTTCCTCTCTTTTCTTCTTTTATCAACGAAAAATGTAAAATGTTTAACATAGCATGTTCATATGAAATTTTCATCGAATCGTGAAACTTTTGCCCAGCCATGTAGAATTTGAAATATTTACGTATGTGTACGTAAACATATATCAGCTGATTGATTTTATGTCGTTTTAATACTTCTCTAAATGCGCTCTTATTGTCTTATAAGGACACCCCGCAAGCAAAAGTCGGCTGTTGTTCTCAACAATGTCAACAATTTTGACTTTGTTTACGTATTTATAATGGAAATCAGTTAACAATAATAGATTTTGACAGGAAACTTGAGAGACAGGTGATATTCAGCTGGTCTCCGTAGATGACCTTATTTAAAGGCCATGGTTTCAGTTCACACTAAATTATTTTAATGAAACTAATTACGTGAAATTAGGCGTTTATAGATCGAGTTTCCAACTACAATAATTTAATAATATTGATCAAGTGAAGAGCTCAACCATGGTACAATGAATATGTAGTCCATTTAGAGCAGCTGATGTCTCGATTAACAGTCAAAGTGCTAATTTCTACTTGAATTCTATGTGCAGTGTTGCCAACCATGTGAAATATTATAAGGAAAATTTTGACAGATAATCGAGACAAAAACAAAGGGTTTTGTTTTGACACATCTCCTTATTATTGCATCATGAACTCAACCTAAGAACTCATTATTTCATCTAATAAGTTTCATGAAACAAGGACTTAGAATAGCAAATATTAGGGTTTCAATATTATACTTTCAGTTTCCCTCAATTTGTATACCACCTTTGTATGCCACCGGTATTTCCCTTTTGCCAATTGACATCATTAAATAAGTATTTCTAGTTCAAAGTTAACACATAAAACAAATGAGACGGTGATTTTGGCAAACCACATAACACGTGTGACATGTGCGCAATTTATTGAATGAACGCGATAGAACTATTACAACTAATTTAACAGTGACACAAATTCACTTCATGGGGACTAGTTTTGTGTTCATTTATTTTAAGTTGCCACCACACTTATTTTCATATTTTTTATTATTAATAATTATGCAAATATTTAACAACAATTTGTTTACAATTATAAACAATTACTTCGTAGTAGTGGTTGTTGTTGTAGCAATTTTTTCATTTCCTCGACGAAATAAATGTATGCAAATAGTTTAGACAACAAATATTAATAATGAATGCGTAAGACATACACCTATGCAAATACAGTGGTTCAATAAAATAACGTTTTAAATTTTATACTCCAAAGACAACCATTCAGTTTATAAAATAAATTAAAATATTTTATACGCTCCCATATTATATAAACATATTTGATCCAAAGACGCTGATATCTACTTGCAATGGTCCAATTATTTGTCATATTGTAAATCTATATTTAAGGTGCCGCCAATATATTAATTTATTCCCCAAATGTATATATATATATATATATAATCTATCCTTAGTAACAATATGTTTTCTTTCTCTCTTTTATCGTTAGCATTTGTTTTGGTTTACTATCGTTTTATTTATTTTTTTTATCAAAGTCCATTTATCCATTCAATGACCCAAAAACATACGCAACCATATTTTCTTTATAGTCTGCTTGTTTTTCGCTAAAATTGCGTGGAAAATTTTATAAATAGAAATACAAAATGATAAGATATGATATATGGGGGTATCTCCCCATCGAAATTATTTTACACAACGTTTTAAAGTTCAATTTGAACTCGATAAATACTTTCGATATTTTCCTTATGGTGATATAAATTTACAATCATTTTAAAGATAAATGAAATCAGATTATAAGTAATGAACAACTTTCCTTGAGCTTGAAAACTAAAGACTATTTAAAAATGTGGATATTGCATTCTCGGTATCAAAAATTTAATTTAGTTTTTTGATTTAATTCGAATTTACATTAATTCATGAATGTCCCTACAAAATTTCAAGTGGACATCTCAAGAACTATTGAAGATATGACCGATTTATTTTGATGCACAAGAGTGATTCTCAAACTTCAAACACATTTTTCTCTAAGCATGTTTTTACGAATGGCGGGCACGATAACTCAAAAACTAATAATACAATCGGTTCCAAATTTTGACACGTTTCTTCTTTCGGAGTGTATAGCGAAGAACTTCCTTATATTCTAACTTAGTTTGTGTTCAAAAAAAGAGTAATTAAAAAAAATGTCAAAATTTCTTTACTAACCAAAAACAATTATTTTTCTTCTTTTTTAAATCTTTAATTATATGTGTGTAAAGTAACAAACCTACATTGGTATTCATTTACAGTACGTTTACATTTAACCGGATTTCGTTAACCCAGTGGGTTTCAATTGTCATTTCCTTTGCATATATGTCAAATAAATCCTCATAAAGTAGGTTAACCCGGTAAAAAGTTCTAA